GGGTAAGCAGAGGAGTGAAGGTGCAGAAATTGGAGCTGATCTGAGGTGTGAAGGTTCAGAAATTGGGATTGACTTGATGTGCGAAGGTGCAAATATTGGGGTTGACGTGAGGTATGCAGGTTTAGAAATTGGGACTGATCTGAGGTTTGAAGGTGCAGCAATTCGGGTGATCTGGGGTGTGAAAGTGCTGGAATTGGGGCTGATCTGAGGTCTGGAGGTGCAGGAATTGGGGTAATATGAAGTGTGAAGGTGCAGAAATTGTGATCAGATTTCTGGAGGTTCAGGAATTAGGGCTTATCTGAGGACTGAAGGAATTGTCGCTGGAGACTGGGGTGTGAAGTTGCAGGAACTGGGGTAAGCTTAGGTGCGAATGTGCAGAAATTGGGGCTGATCTGAGACCTAGAGGTGCAAGAATTGGGGCTAATCTGAGGTGTGAAGGTGCAGGATTTGGGGCCAATCTGGAGTGTGAAGGTCCAGGAATTGGGATGATCTGGGGTGTAAAAGTACAGACATTGGGGTGATATGAAGGGTGAAGGTGCAGGCATTGGTGTGAGCTGAGATGTAAAGGTGCAAACATTGGTGTAAGCTGAGATGTAAAGGTGCAGGAATTGGGATGATCCGAGGTGCAAGAATTAGGGCTAATCTGAGGCCTGGAGATGCAGGAATTAGAGCTGATCTGAGTTCTGGAGGTGCAGTAATTGGGATGATCTGAGGTGTGAAAAGTGCAGGAATTGGATAATCTGAAGTGTAAAGGTAGATGACTTGGGTTGATCAGGGGTATTAAAGTGCAAAGACTGGAGCTGATCTGAGGCATGAAGAAACATGAATTGGGCCTGATCTGGGGTGCAAAAGTGCAGGAATTGGGGTGATCTAAGGTGTGAAGGTGCAGGAATTGGAGCTGATCTGAGGTGCAAGAATGGTGGTGATCTGCGATGTGAAAAGTGCAGGCATTGAAGCTAATCTGAAGTGTAAAGGTGAAGGAATTGGGGCTAATCTGGGGTATGAAAGTGCAAAGAATGTCGGCTGATTTAGGGTCTGAAGGTGCAGAGATTGGGTTTTATTTGAGAGAATGTTATTAGGATGACCACTAAACTGACACCTCACACTTCATTTCCAACTGTATATTTTGCAGAAGTCCCCGGTTGACATATTCATGTCAACCTTACCATACATGCCTCACAACACATACAGTATGTTCTGGAAAAAGGTAAGTTACCATTTACCATCTCTGAAAGCTCAATGTTCTATTCAGCATTTACTGTATAAAAATTCCTTTTCGTGATTGAGCGTGTAAAGTTTACCTTTTTATATATATATATATATATATATATAAAAAACTGCCACTCTCAATTTCTTCTAAAACACTTTTCAGCACACTATGTTCAAAAGGTTGCCTACCCCTGAACTAGAAAGTAGTAGAGTGCTCTTCCTGGGTGTGCAGCACAAAAGGAGGAATGTACAAGATTGCCTGAACAAAACTGCAAATCATTTGGCAGGTAACACAGTAAAAAAAACCCTGTGTATTTAGCAATCTGCCTGAAGTTCCACTTTAAGCTTTATGTCTCTATGTGTTGTGTAAACCAATAGAGGACTGACAAATGCAGAAAAAGGAACACAGAGCAAACAAATCGGTAGTATAAATTTTTAAAGCCCATCTCCACATAAATAGCACTGAACCTCCCCTTAACCTCCCTTGCGGTATGATTATGTCAATATTTCTGTGCTCAAAGCGGTACTTTTTTTTGCATGGAAATATGTTGTTTTTTTATTGTAGGCCTGTAATTTTTAGGAATCTACATCTGAAACACTGAAATCTGTCCGATCAAGAGTCTAGTAAACATCCCGGGTATGATAAAATTTGAAACACAAAATCATAAATTATAATATAATAATCATAAAAAATATAATATATTTAATTCAATAATATAATCAAACCAAATACACTGAAATTTGAAATATAGCACCAAGTTTGGACATCACTGAGCTTAGTCGCAAAATCGTTTTCAATGTCTGATGACGAATTTCCCCACGAATCATTATGACTCAATTCTGCAAGTGGTTCTGATTTACTATCTCTGTTCTCTAGCTGGTCTAAAACCGCTTTTGACATAAAGGGACACTTTTTGGACGCTATGGACATTTCTCAGTTTCAAGGCAGAAAGAACAGTAAAAATGCAGGCAGGGCATAGGACAAAGCAATAGGGACAACATGTATGTGAAATGGTTTGATATAGTAATGTTTTACTATGTGATTTTAGTGTATTTAGTGAATGTCACTTTTTAAAATTTTTAAATTTCCCGCCGGTTCCAGCCCCCGTACATCCCAACGCATGCAGGGACCGGAACCCAGAAGACGGATGCCGGCATCGGCCGGAGGAGATGGCCAAGGACGCTGCAGGGGGTACATCGCCGGAGCGAAGGACAAGGTAAGTGAAACAGGGAATCCCAGAGCAACGCTGCAGTGTATTCCCGAGTGTAGCTCGGGGTTACCGCTTTTGGCACTGATAATTAACCCCAAGCTATACTCGGGAATACCACCAGGGAAGTTAAAGGCAAGTATTTTTTGTTATCCATTTTTTACTTTTAAAGAACAGCAGAAGATGCATTCCACTTTGAGCTTTTTGGCCTCATTTGCAAAGGCACAGAGGCCCATAAAGCGTGAGTGAGATATTTTTTTATGCAGCTGGCCTGCACGATTGTCAAACTCGGCTGTGAGAGTGAGTCTGTACTTCTTGCATAGGCTGTCTGCATGCAACTCCGGGTAGCACCAGGTGCATACACAAACGCCTCTATCACTTTTTACGAGCCTCTGTGCCTGTGTGAGGATATACAGAAAGGGCGCCTCAATTAGGTATCAGCTGTAATGAAGGGTGGACTTACAACTCATGGGGCCTCTGGGCAATATGAGATCATGGGGCCCCCAGTTTTTAAGATGGCCACCGTGCAGCAGCCAACTTTATAGCGGCAGGCCACCTTAACAGCATCATGGGCCCCTGCGAAAAGTAATGCTCTGGGACCCCTACCAATGAGATGGTACCTGTGGCGTGTATAGCGCTCCACGATGAACAACGGGCATAGTCAGTGGGAGAATCTTAAAGGAGGACTGACTAGAATCTGTGTCTGCTATATACACTGCACACATACTGTATGACACAGTCCACAAAATACTAATTACTGCATCACAACTGACAGTTTTACAGACACAAATAAATCCTAGTCAAAGGATCATTTGTTTTTATAATAACCGTTCCCATTGTATGCTTTTATGCACAAAAAAAAGGATATTTCTGTCTTACTGAGCCTACCTTACAGAAGAACTTCATCAGATATATGTAAAGTATAATAAAGTACAGGGGTCAGGATAAAGGTTGTATAAAGTACAGGGATCAGGAGTACCAAACAGAACATATAGAATGCAGCAGCCAAGATGACTGTCACATTCACACCAGAGTCCTCCTTTACATTAAAGTCCTCAGAGTGCCACCTTGCAGCACAGCTCCCAGAGTCCCCCTTACATCGCAGTCCCATCTTACATTAGTGTGCCATCTAGCAACAAAGCCCCCTTACATCAGTGTCCTCTTACACATGCCTTTTAACCTTGATCCTTGGTGTAACAGGACGTCGGCGGAAAAAGGCTTTTAAAAATAAATAAAAAATTCCACTTGTGCAGTTGTAGAGCCAGCTGAATGGTGAACTGCTGTGCTCAGCCTTGGATTGGGCAGCAGGGCATGTGAATAAAAGCCATGTTTGATGGGTGCCATGATGTCACTGCACAGGTGAGCACCCTTCCCTACTGCCAGATATACATACATCAGCACATCTAAAAATCGGCTTGATCTAACACATTGCTGCTGTTCCCAGCTCCTGGCAGGCTAAGACTTGTGGTGCCCCAGCATGTCAGACACAGTAGATGGTATTGCATTAGAGGAGGAGGTTGTGCCTGTGTATTGGTGAGCAGGTACTGAGCAAGAAGGTGTAGCAGAGATTGGGGAGATCTCAAAATTTCAGAACAGGTCCTTCCCCCAGAAGCAATGCAAAATCAATCTAATAGCCTCAGAGGCAAAAGCCCTGCTTGGGGGAACACAGCCTCTCCCCCTACCTCCTGCCCACCAAGGTAAGCCATCTTCGACAAGACTACACTTTTCTCAGCCCAGCCAGCTTACCTGCTAACAGACTGAAGTCCATCCTCTGCTGCAGGCTGTGTTTATTCCTACCTTTCCCACCCCAGCATCTCCTGTGATAAAGTCAAATAAAGCACACTGGGGAAGAGGGTGGGTACAGTGTGTTCCCATTGGCTGATGGGGCAGTGGAGAGTCAGAACAACTGTAGCCGTAAAATATTTAGGAACACATTTAAAAATCTCAGATTTCATAGAAATCAGAATTTTTTTACAAAAACTGTCCCTGAAGTTACAAAAGTTTTCAACCCTGAAAGGGCTCCCCCACTGGCAGTACCCGAGTGACTGAATGGTCAGTCTGCCTCTGGCTGTAATCTATTTTAGGCCCTTAATTACTTTTACTACCCGATTCAAGAGATTTATCCACCCTAGGCTAAACTCTTGGCCTATCTAGTACTAGAATTTTTAATACGACACTTAATACGATACAATGCATGTACCTCAGTCAGACTTATAACATTTCAGCAACAAAAGGGATTCCAACTGTCACACGGATTTCAAATTTTAGTTCTTATTAATAGAATAATTTCCACTCCAAAAGTCTTACACAGCGGACAAAAAAAGGACAAAAATGACACTGATCAACATGTGCTTTAATGCAAGAAAATTATGCAATTGATTTTTTTTCCTGATGACAAATAGTAAGTTCTCTTGTACTGCTGTTTATACAATTCAATTCTACTGATTAGTTGTCTTGCCATTTGATTTGCACTGAATATTGTTTATCTTAGTAACACAAAGTAACTATACATCTAAAGTAGGACAAAGAATTTTAATAAAGTTCCTTTTGTTTAACAGACTTTTTTTTTTTTTTTTCCATATTTTAATGGTGTCCACCATTTTTCTTAGGTGGAAAAAAGGTGTACTCCACTCCCAGTGCCACAACAAAGGCAGCAAAGCCCCATTTAAAACCTTTGAAGATAACTTGTCTTAAGGTGACAGGTTTAGCAAAAGCTCCCGAGTATCTCCAGGCTTCATTCCTGCAAATTAACACAAAGTAAAAAAATTAAAGTCAGTAAACAAAAGTATGTAAAAATACACAACTTGCACAGCATATGCAGCCATCTACTGCCCCCCACAATGACATAGTTCGGGCCTGGTGATTGTCCAGTCATTTCTATGACATGACAAGGGAAAGCTGTTCTGTAATTTGAAAGGAGAAACAGGCAGGATTGACAGAACCATTGGGGCAGGGAGGGAGAGAGAAAGTGGAGAGAAAGATATGGGGGAGAGAGGAAGTGGAAGAGAGAGAGAAGGAAGGGGGAGAGAGAGAGGAGAGAGAGAGGAGGGGGAGAGAGGAGAGAGAGGAGATAGAGAGAGAGAGAGGAGAGGGAGATAGAGGGGGATAGGGGGAGGGGGGGAGAGGAGAGGGGGGGGAGAGAGGGGGGGGAGAGAGAGGGGGGAGAGAGAGGGGGGGGAGAGAGAGGGGGGGAGAGAGAGAGGGGGGAGAGAGAGAGGGGGGGGTGAGAGAGAGAGGGGGAGAGAGGGGGGGAGAGAGAGATGGGGGGGAGGGGAGAGAGAGATGGGGGAGGGGAGAGAGAGAGGGGGGAGGGGGAGAGAGAGGGGGGGGGAGGGGAGAGAGAGGGGGAGGGAGGAGGGGAGGGGGGGAGGAGAGAGAGAGAGAGAGGGGAGGAGAGGAGAGGGAGAGAGAGAGAGAGAGAGGGAGGGGAGAGGGAGAGGGGAGAGAGGGGGAGAGTGGGGGAAAGAGAAATATATATTATATAAAAAACTAAAGAAATGCACTGAATACATTTTTTATTTTGCCCAGACAAACTTTAATAAAGCAATATTTACCATAAATGGAAGTGCGGGATGCACATTTTAAAAAATGTGCTCATATTTTACCTTAACCATGGATCCTTCAAGCCCTTTTTCTGCGAGTCTGGCCTGTACTTTTTCCAGGGGTGTACCCTCTATTTTCCATATCTTGTAATCTGGTATGTGCATCTTCCCATGTCCATGTCCGTGATGCTCAGGTGTTTGACCCAT